TCTCTCTGAAAATTTTCTCATTTGAAAAAAATTTACACATGAATAAACTCCCAAAGAACATCCATTACATTATAGCAATGATCCTGCAACATGGGTACCATGAGTAGTTTTTGTTTCCTTTTTTTTCCTGCTTATCTGTTTTCTAATATTTCTATTATGAATGTATATTACTTTGTAATTAGGAAACCAAAACTTGTATTAAACCCAGTCTGTACCGTGCTTGCCCTACTGCCTCCCTCCCCACAGGGTGAGGGTACAGATTGGCTCCCCCCAGAGATGTACTTGCTGGAAGAGGATGCCATCACCCCTCGGGCTCTGCCCTTTCCTGCAGGGACCCAGCAGGGCAGGGTGGGAGCAGGACCCTGTATCCCTGTCTGGCAGGGTCCTGGGAGTCATCCCTGGACAGTGAGCCTGAACAGGAGCCTTTCCAGCTGTTGTACAATTGCCTAAACCACCCTACGTTGGTGGCTGGTCACTCCTGTTGTCTGAGACATAACCCTGGCTGACACATGGGCTCCTGAGCCATGTGGAGACAAGACTGTGTTGAAGGAAAACATACATTTTATGACAAATCAAATGAAAATTATTCCAAGCCACCAATATTTCAAGTGGTTTAGAGTCCATCTGAGTTGCAGAAGGAAGAGTAAAAATAGCTGGAGCAACTCTGCCACATCCAAAACACAACAAAGATCTCCAAGTATAAAGGTACCAGGGTCACAGATTTCCTGACTTTTACTAAGACATGCAGATGTAATGTAGTTTAAAATGTTTTCAGAAATGGCTCAACTTTTCCCTGGGAGCCTTATCTCATGGGTTTAGGGAGGGATGACGAGGAACAGGGATAACAGACTAAATGTCCCTGTTTGTGGAATTTCAGCTCTAGAGCAGTTTCTCATGGGGGCAGGAGCTGTATGCTGCAGCGGACCCGTGCCCATCACACATGGGCGCACAGGGCCATGTGGGTCAGCTGTGGCCAGGCGCTCTGAGGCGTGCAGGACTTCGGATGCCTGGCACGCCTGTGCAGTCCAGGCACCCATTCACACCTCCCCCTGCTGGGCGGCCCCAGCTGGGTGACCAGTGCTGCATGGGATGTGGAGTCTGCCTGCTCTTCCTGGACTTCTAGATGGAGCACCAAGCCAACCCTCTGCCTGAGCGTTCCTCTGAGCGCATTCAACCAGCAGCCGTGCCCAGGTGTCACTCTGGAGAGAGAAGCTGGGGCACTGGTACCTGTCTTCTTTTTTTTTTTTAATTCTTTTATTGGTACATTTTAGGTATACAATGCATTTACATTTATCACTGGGTGCTTGTACCCGTACATGATGTATCTTAGTTCATATTTTTTTCCGCATTACCTGTGCACCCTTCACCCCCTCTACCCTTCCCTAATTACATAGATTTAGTTTCCATTTTTTTCTTTTCTCATAATTTTTCCTTTCCCTTCTTCCCTTTCCCCTTCCCCTCCTGCCACCCTTCCACCTTTGGACTTTTTCCTATTTCAAATTATCAATTATTCATTTTGATCCTTATCTACACTTTCAGTTTCTCACACTAGAGAAACTATTCGGTATTTACACATGTGTGTCCTATTTATTTCACTTAAGAGGATGGCCTCAATATGCATCCATTTAGCTATAAATGACTCTAGTTTTTCATTCTTTATGGCTGAGTAGTACTCCATTTTATAAAAAAAACCACATCTTCTTTTTCCAGTCTACAGTTGATGGGCATTTGGGCTGTTTCCAAGCTTTAGCTATTACAAACTGTGCCGCTGTGAACATGGGTGCACATATATCACTGTGGTATGATTCTTTTAATTCTTTTGGGAAGATTCCCAGTAGGGGAATAGCTGGGTCAAATGGGACCTCCAGTCCTAGTTCTTTGAGGTATCTGCATACTGATTTCCACAGTGGTTGCACCAGTCTACACTCCCACCAGCAGTGGAGCAGTGTTCCTCTTTCCCCACAGCCCTGCCAGCATTGTTATTGGTTGATTTCTTGATAGCAGCCATTCTTTCTGGGGTGAGGTGGAATCTCAGTGTTGTTTTCATCTGTATCTCTCAAATGACCAGTGATGTTGAACATTTTTTCATATGTTTATTTGCTGCTTTTACTTCTTTGTCTGAGAAATGTCTGTTCATTTCAGATGCCCATTTTTGAATGCGGTCTTTGAATTTGGGGGTTCTGATTTTTTTCAGTTCTTTATATATTCTAGATAGTAGACCTTTGTCTGAGGTACAGCAGTTAAAAATTTTTTCCCACATTGTAGGTTGTCTCTTAGTTCTGTTGGTGGTTTCTCTTGCAGTCCAGAAGCTTTTTAATAAGATGAAATCCCAGTTGTTGATTCTTTGTGCTAGTTCCTGTGCTGCTGAGGTTTTGTTCATAAAGTCTTTTCCTATGCCAATGTCATTGAGAGTTCTACCTAACTTATCTTTCAGCAAGTTTAGTGTTTCTGTCTTAATATTCCAATCTTTAATCCACTTTGATCTTAGTTTAGTGCACGGTGATAGATATGGATCTAGTTTTAATCTTTGGCAGGTTGAAATCCAGGTTTTCAACACCGTTTATTAAAGAGGCTATCTTTCCTCCAGTGAGGATGTTGGCTCCTTTGTCAAAGATGAGGTGGCTGAGTGTCTGGAGTTGCTTCTGCATCTTCTGATCTGTTCCACTGGTCCTCGGGTCTGTGTCTTTGCCAGTTCCATGCTGTTTTAGGTATCTGTCTTCTTGCCTTCCACATCCTCCTCTCTGATGGGGAATTTCTTCTGTGTCATCATCTACCTCCTCCCCAAATGCTGGAGTCTATGTAAGGCAGAGTCCAAGAAGACAAATTAATTTGCCAATGAGTGAGGTTCAAACAGATTGTTCTTTTTTCTTTTCTTAGTGATGGGGATTGAATTCAGGACCTTGTGCCTGCTAAGCAAGCGCTTGATCGTGAGCTACTCCCAGGCCATTGTCTCTTTTTATACTAGTAAAGCTGCTCGCGAGGATTACTATGATTTGGATGAGTGTCCCAAGGGCTCATGGGTTCTAGGCTGGGCCCCAGCTCATAGCACCGTTGGAGAGCAGGGCCCTTTAAGAGGTGGGCCCACCGGGAGGTTTCTGTTTATACAGGGGTGGCCCTTGAAGGGGATACTGGGGCCCCGCCCCTCCTCTTTATTTTCTGCTTCCCGGTAGGTCACTGTGAGGTGAGCAGCTCCCCCCATGTACTGCCATGGTGTGCTGCCTGCCACAGGCCCCAGAGCAACCAGCCATGGACTGTGACTGAAACCTCCGAAAGTGTGAGCCTAAACAGGGCTTCCTAAGCTGATTATCTCAGGAATTTTGTTACAATGATGAATAACTTACTAACACAAGGACTTACCTGGAATGTGCCCAGCCTTATTGTTTTGATTCTTTTCTCCAAACTCTTAAGGAGGCAGGCATCAAGGAGGCCTGAGGTTTATTCCCATCCTTTGCTTTACAATGGTACATGATGAATGAGAGGCCCATCAGCTGTCGGGACCTTTACAGAAGAGAGTGAACCTGTCCTCTTGTTCTTTAGAACGTCTTGGTGGAAAGGTCTGTAGTTCTTTGCCCAGTGTTTCCTGGTGAGCTTTCCTTGGTGATATCAGAGGAACCAGAGGGGAAGTATGAGCTCTTGCCTGGAGGGGGATTAATGTTATCAAGAATAAGGGTTTGGAAGGCCAATGTCTTTTCCCCATCCCTATCATCCTTAATACAATGTGCTTTGGTACAAAAGTCCAGAAAATGGAACCACTGCCATTAGAAGCTTCTACAGATGGTGTGTACATCTTACCAGCCAGACAGCTCTCTCTATTCCAATACACATAGCACTGGGCTGAAACTAAAACAGATGAGATTTGCTAGAAGTATTGTTGAGAATGCAAAATTCCACATGGTTATGTGGCACCTTGGCCTGGGCGAGCTGTGTAGAGTGGAAAATCTGCACATGGCCCCAGGCTGCTGAAGGGAGGCTTCTCAGAGGAAAGGCTTATTTCTATGTTTATTTTGAGTGCTGCTGGAAATTAAACCCAGGACCTAGCCATGCTGGGTAAGATTTCTATGGCTGAGCTACTCCTCTGCCCCTCAGGAAAGGTATTTAGACTGTGATTCCACAGACTGGGATGGATGTGGCTGAAGGAACCAGGACCAGCCACGGGAGGCTGCTCCCCTCAGGAAAAGTGGGTGGTGGTGAACTTGGATGTGCCCAGGTGAGAGAGTGCAGGTGGGGCTCATGTTGTTATGAGGGGGAGAAGGGCTATCTAGCAGGAGGGGGAAGTTGCCAGTGTGTGGCCTTTTGCAGAAGAGACCAGTAGGGTCACAAGGAGAGACTTAGGAGAGGGTTGCAGTGAGCGCTATGGTTTGGATGGTTTGTGCCTCAAAAGGAGAGGTGCTGGGGCCTAGTGGGAATTGGTTAAGTCATGGGCTGCTGCCCTCAGAAGAAACTAAGGTATTACTAATGAGACCCCAGGCCGGTTCTCTTGAGAGGGTTTTGTAAGAGTATGAGTCTGGCTCCTTTACCTGTTCTGGCATCCCTGTCACCATGAGACCGCCCTCTTGATGTGCTCCACTGTTGCTCATCCATCTACCACAAGCCCCTTCGCCAGAGCTGAATGGATGCTGGTGCTATGCCCTTGGAGCTCCAGAAGTGTGAGCTAAATAAATCTCTTCTTTATAAAGTACCAGCCTCAGATATTTTGCTATAGTAACAGAAAATGGACTGAAACAAGAGTCATAAAAAGAAAGCCAGGACTGGAGAATCCTGGAAGAAGATTCTAGGAGAGTAGGCTCATGTTACCCACCTTGGACAGGACATTCAGCAGATCACAGCCCAAGGCAGTAGGACAGAGCTTGGCCTTGGGACCAGCCCCACCCCGGGTTTGTGACTTGGAGTGAGCTACATAACTTGTAAGGTGCTGATCATAATGGTATTTACCTCAGTGGCTTTGGGAAATAATGCCCAGGATTGTGTATCTACAACTTCAGACACAGTGTGGCCACCAGCATGAGGCCACCATGAAGCTCTCCAACTTTGCTGTTGGGAGTACTGATTCAGGAAACCAACTGTAAAGTGCTACCCGAATATAATTTTGATGCTAGCTTGCATAGGTTGGAAAACGTTAGAAGGTACAGTCTTCACCCGGAGGCATCTATGAAGGAGCAGACGTGGGGGTAGTCAAAGAGATGGAGATGGAAAATGTTCAAGCTGGAGCCCCAGGAAAACCAGAAACAAAACTAGACCCTCAAGAAGAAACACAAGAAAGTGACCCTCGTGGTAAGGGGGCAGGGAGGAGGGTGCCTTAGGAGCCTGTGCTCTTGGGGAGTGGGTGGCAGTGTTCTGTGTATAAAGGAGACATGGGATCACATCCTGCTTAGCCCTCTGTCGGATGAGGTTATTGAAATGGATGCAGCGCTCTTCATTTGTGATCTCTAAGAATGACATCACTCTGCCTTGAAGTAGATAATCCCAAACACTTTTTGTTTTGTCTTTTGCATTTTTAGTTTATTTACTTCCTTTTTTGTTCAGAAAACCCTTTACAGGTTCCCTCCGGCAATGTGGCTCTTCTGCTCCCAGAGTTCTTGGACAGGGCACAGGCCAAGGGGAAGGCGGCCTTTCTCCCTGTGGTGAGCAACACACTCCACACGTCCACTGAGGAGTCTGAGTTCCCACAGAAGGGCAGCGATGTCCCCAAGTTCCCAGCAAACATCACGCATTACAAGAAAGGGAACATCTCTGGGTCCTCAGCTAAAACCAAGCACAGCAACACCAAGTCCTTGGCAAAAATTACCCAGGCCAAACAGGGGAACATCCCCAAGTCCTCAGAGAAAACCATCCAGTCCAAAGAGGATGATGTTCCCACATCCTCCGAGGGAATGACTCAGCCCAGAGAGCGTGATGTCCTCAAGTCCTCAGAGAAAAGCAGCCAGTTCAAGCCGGGGAACATCCTCAAGTCCTCAGCAAACACCATCCTCTCCAAGCACAGCAATATCCCCAAGTCCTTGGCAAAAAATACCCAGCCCAAACAGGGGAACAGTCCCAAGTTTTTAGCAAGTACAATCCACCCCAAGGATGGTGACATCTCCAGGTCCTCAGAGGAAACCACCCAGCCCAAGGATGGTGACATCCTCAAGTCTTCAGAGGAGACCACCCAGCCCAGAGAGAGCGACATCTCCAAGTCCTCAGAGGAGACCACCCAGCCCAAGGAAGATGCTCTCTTAAAGCTCAAAAAAGAATCAGTGGAGTCCCCTGAGAAGAATGCGGTGAAAGTGATCATGGGCAAGGAGCACTTTGAGGAAGCGCTCAGGGAAGCCAGGGAGAGGCTGGTGGTCATGGACTTCTCGGCCACGTGGTGTGGGCCCTGCAGGAGCATCCGGCCGCGTTTCCATTTCCTGTCTCTGAAGCACAGTGACGTCATGTTCCTGGAAGTGGACGCCGATGACTGTGAGGCGCTGGTGAAAGACTGTGAGGTCGTTTGTCTCCCAACCTTTCACTTTTATGAAAAAGAAGAAAAGGTAGGTGAGCTTTGTGGTGCCCAAAACGCAAAGCTCGAAGCAATAATTACAGAATTAAAGTAATCATATATTCCGAGAACACTGCAAACTGCAGGTCACAGCTTATGCTTTTTTTTAATTTGCAAGAAGGAACAGGTATAACAAATTATGTCTAAATGACGCAGCTTGTAAATTGTGAGTGTGAAGACTGGCCTTTGAAAGCACAATGCATTGGAGCATATTGTGACCATGATTCTATTGATAGGAGAGAGAGAGAGATTACAAACTCCTTGGGAGGAGATCAGAAGTCCTCCTTTCCATCTTGTTGTTTTTCCATTTGCCTTTGAAAATTCTGTTCATTAAGTGTTTGCAGCAACAATGGAAATTTTAAAAATCCATCTGTAGCTGTACATGGCTAACGACAGTGTAAAGTTCTTTGCCCATGCACACATATCTCTGGGGGCTCTGAGCAGATTCTCTTGGAAGTCACGTCTTAGCTCACTTCCTCCTCATGCAGGGGGTGCTAGGAGGTGCCCGCAGCCTGAGGCTCTGTTCCCGACCTTCAGGTCCAGGCTGTTTGCACTGGCCACGCTCACCAAATATGGGCAGAGCTCAACACTTTGGGTTCTCAGAGGCTCAAGTCCTGGTGCCTTATGACGTCAGCACTGTGGTGGCAAAGTTCGTGCTTCATTGGGTTCCTAATTCCTACCCCAGATCTCCCTGAGCCCAGAGGCCCAGTTGTGGCCTACAGGTAGGTGGTGGCTTGGTCCAAGGGGTTGTTATTTACGCACAGATTTGCTGAGGTCTATACAGCAAGAACTGCATGTGCTTCATGTGGGGAGCAGGTGAGTTTGGCTAAGGGCACACACCAGTGATCCCATGACCTCCAGGAGCCGCCTTGTGTCCTTCTGCTTTTCTTAAATTTGCGGAACACTGTTCTGGTTACCAGGAGATCTGCCTCTTTGATGCATTTAAAGTGGCTGATACCCTACTGTAACGCCAGGCACTGCGTTGCACAGCTGACCTCTAGGATCCCTTCATTGTGGAGCGCTGAATCCTCGTACCTTGTATTGAGCAGTTATTCCTGTTTCCCCCTTGCCCCACTAGGCAGCCACGATCCTATTTTCCACTGGCTCAGAATGCTTTTAAAAATATGGATTTGTTGTCAATATTTTAAGAACTGCTATTTCCTTTAAAGTCTAGATTTATAGCTTTTCTTGAAAAATGGTAAGGTCTGGCAACCTGAGACTTACATTACTTCAAGAAACAAGCCTCATCTTGGGGGGTGAGTGGCAGCATCCTCCCTCTGGTCCACCACAGAGCCTGGCAGGCTTCATTTGTCTGGTGGAGGTCATGCGGCAGCCCCTAAGGGGGTCAGAGTGGGGCTGGTCACCCTGCATCCTGTCCCTGGGCGGACACTCTGTGGGACACCTCAGGCACAAGCCTGCTTTGCACCATTATCAGCGGCCTCGTGCAGCAGACAGACCCATGATACACGTACTTGGCCTTGTCCGAAACAGGTTTGGAACGACCTCCGGGAAGTATTGATGATGAGGCTATAAAATGAGGGGAGATCAGAACCCCCCAGTGAGGAGCCTGTGGGCTCTTCGGGCCTATGTAATTGCTCTGATAGAATGCCAAGCTTTTATTTTAAGCTTCTTGATGGTTGGGAGAGGAAAGGGGGCCTCACTAACACCCAGATCTCCTTGCCCAAAATGAACAAGCTTCACAATGTGAAAAAGGAGCCAGAGCTTTCCTTTGATCTTGAATGAAATTTCTTATCTGGGACCTTAAATTTGAGACACTGCACAATAGATGATGTTCTGGATGAGATTTCTTTCTCTCTCTTTCTTTCTCTCTCTTTCTCTTTCTTTCTTTCTCTCTTTCTTCCTTCCTTCCTTCCTTCTTTTCTCTCTTTCCTTTTCTTTCTTCCCCCTTTTCTCTCTTGCTCTCTCCCCACCTCTTCCTGAGGTACTAGGGATTGAACCAAGAGCCTTCACACTGAGCTGCGTCCCCAGTCCTTTTCATTTAATGTTTTTAAATATCAAAGGCAACCTCTAGTTTTTTGCTTTTTCAGTTTTTGAGGAATCTCCACACTGATTTCCACAGTGCTTGCACCAGTCTACACTCCCACCAGCAGTGGAGCAGGGTTCCTCTTTCCCCCCAGCCCCGCCAGCATTTGTTATTGGCTGATTTCATGATAGCAGCCATTCTTTCTGGAGTGAGGTGGAATCTTCAGCGTCAACACTGAGTTTTTAAAATCTCTAATAATGTTTTCTCTATTTTTTGTTTGTGAGTTTTTTTGTTTGTGAGTTTGTTTGTGAGTTTTTTTGGTACTGGGGATCGAACTCGGGTCCTTGCGCTTGCGAGGTTTTAAATATCAAGAGAGGGCCTCATTAAGCCACTAAATTGCCTGAGCCAGTCCTGGACTCGCAGTCCTCTTTCCTCAGCCTCCCAGAGCTCCTGGATGGATCGTAGGCATGCACCACCGTGCCTGGCCCTTGTTGAGATTTTTAAAATCATAAATTCAGAACTGTTTCATATGACTGTTCCTGGTAATAATCTTTAGTAAAACCAAACCTGTAGTGGCAAAGCGTTTTTCAGTGAGAGGATTCCACAGTCAGGCATGTACCTTCTGCACTGCATGCCAAAGGCCTTCTTCTGAGGTAGGACTGGGTCCCTCTGTTCTCAGGAGGAGGGAGCATCCTCCGACCTTGTCACTCCTGTTTCCCCTCAAACAAGGCTGGCTTTGTCCTCACTGTCTCAGCTTAGATGCAGGCATCCAGACCCCCAGGCCCTGTGCTCCAAGACCTGTCTGGACTGCTGAGCGAGCCCGCCTCACTGTAGGCCGAAGTTTGAAGGGCCAATGCTCCTGAAATCCAGCGTTAGTGAGTTAGATAAGTTCTTTCCTCTGGGACTGCAGTATGAAAGACATGTGTGACAATAGTCTTTGTAGTATTTAAGTTTCTAAGTGATGTTACAGTGACTTCAAAAACTCCTGAACAGTGACTGACAGTAAATTGTTAAGGTTATCTCAGAATGTCCCTGATGTAAGCCAAGGGAGGCAGGCAGAGCACAGCTCTATCAAGGCAGTCAGGGCCCAGTGAGAGAGCAGGTGTGGGTGTGGCTGGAGATGAAACCAAAGAGGCAATTTGTGCCCTGCAGACTCGCACTGGGAGCACTGTTGCTCTTGATCGAAGCTGAACAGCAGCCTGGCCGGAGATGTGTTCTGTGCTAGAGACCCTGAGTGTGGATGTTTTATTTTGCATCATGAGAAAGAGGCATGGACTGACAAGAAAACTAACCAAGCAATTGTTTCTACCTCGTGTATTTAAAAGGAAGGAGAAATAAGGATCTTTAAAGAGAAGGAAGATTCCAGGTGATCATACAGGCTGTCAGTGATGATGATCTGTCTAAGCGGAGCCTCAGAGTCAATGGAAGCCCTGTGAGGATGAACAGGAAAACCCGACCAAGTGGCGGTAGCAGACAGATATCCCCAAATCAATAGCTTTCATATGATTCTGTGATAAATAATTAGGGTCCATATAGAAAAGGAGTCATTCGCAATGGTGATAAAATAAAACGTCCAGCAATAGGCCCTTGAAAAGTTAAACTAAAAGTAAGCTTGAATAAAGTGAACTAGGCCACCTTCCTTGGTGGAGAGAAAGATTGAAAGCTGTTGATTCTTTCTACTTGATTAGTACATGGTGGAATTCCAACCAGTGTCTCCATGGACATTTGGGAGTACCTGAAAAAATACTTAAACATTCACTGAGCATAATAGACCAGAATATGTAGGCAAATGAGAAGGAATGAGAAGAACGAAGGACATTTGTCCTACCTGCTACTTTAATATATAATTGGTACAGCAATGGTAAGACAGTGGTATTAGTAATGGAAAAAAGAGCAATGAAACATAATAATAATCAAGAATCAGATCTTGGTATCTGAGTAATAATATGTGAAAAAGGAAACATTTCAATTTGAAGGAAGGTGAGTAGATTCTTTTCTCAAAAAATCATATGGTGAAATTTTGATATTTGAAGGGAAAAAATCAGTCTATGTTCCATTCTCATGCCAGAACCAAAATAAATGTAAGTTGGATTAAAGAATATGCAATCATTAAAAAACAGAAAAAATGTAGTTAAATATTTATCTGATTCTTGGGTGGAAAAAGGATTTTCTACATACAAAAGCAATTAAAGAAATAAACTTGAACATAAACTTTTCCATGAAAATATATAAATAGCTTCCTTTCGGCCGGAACCGCCATCTTCCAGTAATTTGCCAAAATGACGAACACAAAGGGGAAGAGGAGGGGAACTCGGTATATGTTCTCTAGGCCTTTTAGAAAACATGAGGTTGTTCCTTTGGCCACATACATGCAAATCTACAAAAAGGGTGATATTGTAGACATCAAGGGAATGGGTACTGTTCAAAAAGGAATGCCACACAAATGTTACCATGGCAAAACTGGAAGAGTCTACAATGTTACCCAGCATGCTGTTGGCATTGTTGTAAACAAGCAAGTTAAGGGCAAGATACTTGCCAAGAGAATTAATGTGCGTATTGAGCATATTAAACACTCAAAAAGTCGAGATAGCTTCCTGAAATGGGTCAAGGAAAATGATCAGAAAAAGAAGGAAGCCAAAGAGAAAGGTACCTGGGTTCAACTGAAGCACCAGCCTGCCCCACCCAGAGAAGCACACTTTGTGAGAACCAATGGGAAGGAGCCTGAGTTGTTGGAACCTATTCCCTATGAATTCATGGCATAAACTGGGGATGTAGCTCTGCCACGCAGCACCTAATTAGAGGCTGAATGCCCTAATCCCTACTTCAAAATAAAAAATCATCCTGTGTTGTAAGGATGGTTTTCTTAATTGAACAGGTGTGTGGTGCCTTTACCTCAGAGAAGCAAATATTTGGAGCAGATTCTCATTATACCCAGTTAATTGTGTCAGGTCTTTACTCTTCAGTGTTTTTCTTGCTGAAAGATGTGAGGTATTATGCAGATGTATACTCAAATGGCCAAATATTTATGAAACATTTATATTGGCTTGAAGATCCTCTAAATCACCTTGGGGACAAGATGTATCAAAATAAATGGAAGTCAGTGTATGGCATTTCAGTTAAATAAATTGTTTAAAAGCACCCTTAAAAAAAAGAAAAGAAAAGAAAAAGAAAATATATAAATAAAATTAACAGGAGACAAAAATGGAACTAATATCTGTAGATTTACTATAAAAATACTCTTACAAAGCAGGCATGGTGGCATGTGCCTATAATCCCAGCATTTTGGGAGGCTGAGGTAGAAGAGCAAGCTCAAGTCCCATCTGGGCAACTTGGAGAGACCTTGTCTTAAAATAAAAAATTAAAAGAGGACTGGCATTGTAGCTCCGTGTGAAGGCC